AGGCAAGGGGCCGGGGGAGACAGGAAACGGGGGCCCGCCATCTCTCAGCCCCGTGGAAAGGGCCTCAGCGGCTAGAAGTGTCAGAGCTGGGCCACACAAAGCCTCCTTGTCTTCCTGTCTCGGCACAGGCAAGACCTCAGGGCTGGGTGAGCCAGGCCACCTCCTCTCCACACAGATGGAGGAGGCTACTAGCTGAGCACCCCGCAGGCGGTGGTCAGAGGAAGCGAACCTGTGGGATATGGTCACGGATGTGTTTGTTGCCAAGTGGAAAGCGGTGGGGGGTAGGGGTAGGTGGCAACGGACAAGTTGAAATTTAAGAACTTTTGTTTTTAATCCTACTCCCTTTCTTGCATGCAGTCCTGAATCTTCCCAGATGGGAGAAGATGTAAGGAGATGGGAAAGTCTGTTGAGTACAGGAGACAAGAAGTGGGGGAGGGGAGAAGTTTAATATTAACAATGATAATATCAGTAACCACAGCCCCGAGAGCTGACGTTCACTGATTCCGACTGTATCAAGCAGAGTTGGAAGCCCCGTGAGCTCCGTTTCTCGGTGACTTTCAGCGGCTACTGTAGGAGGTGGGTTCAGTGGTCATCCCAGAGCTTGGCAAGCAGCTTGCCAGCCGGTGTTTTCTAAGGCCATGAATCAGGCTTTTCTGAAGCCTAATGGGGTCTGGCAAGGTATCCTGCCTGCTCAGCTTTGAGATATTTTGGCAGATTCACATTGGTCCATGTCCGTTCAGGTCATCATAAAAGGCACTGACATTTCCCGAGAATGTGTTGGTGATGCATGATTCCAGCATCCTCCATGGCTCGGTGGGTGAGGGTCAGCTGGCATCTCCCCTCGCTCTTTGAGAATCTTGTCTGCAGTGCTTTCTTTTTTTAAGTTTTTTTAAGTTTTTGTTGTTGTTTATTTATTTAAGTCATCTCTACACCCCACGTGGGGCCTGAACCCACAACCCCCGAGATCAAGAGTCACACACTCCTCCGACCCAGCCAGCCAGGTGCCCCACTGCTTTCTAGGAGATCTCATTTTGCTGCTCGAGGCTGGAGTTGGGGTAAAATGTAAACTGTCTCAGGACCCTGCTTGGCTGACTATTCAAAGCATTTCAGTTCGAATCCGTCTGTAGGGGAGGGAAGGAAGTGGGTTTAAACCCTGACTCTGTCCTCACTGGCTGTGTAGCCTTAGGAAGATGACCTCCTTTCTCTAAACTCCAATTTCCTCACCAGCAAAGAGGGGGTAACAGTAACACTCCCTCCCGGCAGAAACTGAATTCCCCTGCCTGCCTCTGGTCTGCTTTCCCTAGAGCTCCTGCTCCTGGCACTGCTCTTTCCTTGCCTTCTTTGCAGGTTGAGTTTCTTGAGGATAGAAAGGGTGTGAGCACTGCCTGACAGGCCTGCAGGGGCCCTCAGGGGGAGTTCAAGGCTTCCAGGGAGTCAGGAAAGTCAACTGCTGACCAAGTAAGAGCCAGCAGCAGAAGCTGCTTCCAGAGGGAGGTTCAAAGTCCCGGTCCCATGAAGGTGATCTTTAAACACGAGGACTTTTCTTTTCTTTTTTTAAACATTTTATTTATTTATTTGACAGAGAGAGACACACAGCGGGAGAGGGAACACAAGCAGGGGGAGTGGGAGAGGGAGAAGCAGGCCTCCTGCAGAGCAGGGAGCCCGATGCGGGGCTCGATCCCAGGAGCCTGGGATCATGACCTGAGCCGAAGGCAGACGCTTAACGACTGAGCCACCCAGGTGCCCCAACACGAGGACTTTTCTAAGCACTGTTACTACATGCCTTCAAGATCGGTGGGGGGAATGTTTGGCCTGATTGTGGAGGGCCTTGAAGGTCACTCTCAGGAGATTCTGCCTTTATGCTCTGGGCAGAGGTGCTGGAAGGGTTTTTGGCCGAAGTGTGAGACAATCATACCCAATCCCCTTCTTCTTTTAAAAATCTTTTTCTTTCAAAATAATTTTAGACTTAGGAAAATAATACAGCAAGTTCCTGTATAGGCTTTACCAGCTTCCCCAAATACTAACATCTTGAATGACTACAGAAGAATTAGCAAAGCCAGGAAATTAGCGGTAATGTAATAGAATTAAAGAATTTACAGTTTACTCAGATGTTGCCAATTGTCCCCCTACTGTTCTCGTTCTGGTCTAGAATGCCATCCAAGATCCCACAGTGCATTTAGTTGTCATGTGTCTTTGGGCTCCTTTAATCTAGAACAGCTGCTTTTTGTGTGTGTCTCAGGACTTTGAGGGTTTATCTTAAGAGTCCAGGTCAGTTATTTTTTCCTGTATAACCTTGACATTTTTTAAGAGTATTGGCCAATTGTTTGTTTGGTTTTTTTTTTAAGATTTTATTTATTTATTTGAGAGAGAGAGAGAAGGAGAGACAGTGAGAGAGCACAAGCAGGGAGGAGAGGGAGAAGCAGGCTTCCCACAGAGCAAGGAGCCTGATGCAGGGCTCGATCCCAGGACACTGGGATCATGACATGAGCCGAAGGCAGACGCCCAACGGACTGAGCCACCCAGGCGCCCCTGGCCAATTGTTTTATAGAACGTTTTTCACCT